AATCGAAATTTTTAAAGGAGAAGGGGTTGCGTTCAGTGGTCCAAGGAAGAAGAAGGGGCTGCGTTTTATAAAGCTGTTCGCAGTATTATACTGCGTTTTAGGTAAAACGCAGTATAATACTGCGAACAACTTTATAAAATGCAGTATTATACTGCGAATTACAAAAAAAAAATTGAAGTAAAACGCAATACGGTACTGCGAATTACAAAAAAAAAAAAAAATTAAAGTAAAATGCAGTATGGTACTGCGTTTTACTTTAACGGACTAATTTCCATTAACGTAGTTCGCAGTATAGTACTGCGTTTTACTCATTTATGTAACTTTTTTTTAAGCAGTATAAAAGTGATTTTTGTCCAAAAAAAAAACATCAAAAGCGTTTTGGATTCAGCTTTAACTTATATCCACTGACTATGTAACAATAATCATAAACATAAATGTATTTAAATGACCTGAATCCCGATAATATATAAAACTCTTCCAGTATATAGAAGTTAAATTTAAAACACATCTTCTTACAAACTTGGACTTATCCCCTGCTTTTGTCGAATCTTAAAGGATGCAATTATTTTCTTTTCAGTTTAATTTAGAATATTTTAATAATTTTAAGTGAAAAAACATTAACACTATCAAATCACCTAGAAGATAACTACAACTAACAATCCATAAAAAGTAGAAACTGCTATGACATGAAATTAAATTATATTAAACTGATTGTTTAAAATTCTTTACATTGTCGACACATATAAGTTAAATCCTGTAATAATTTTCTTTACTTTCGAGCTTGACATCTTTCTTCTCATTAAGAATTTCTGAAGTTACTCTAGTGCCCTAGACCATAAGCTCTGCCCTTATTTTAGCCTCTGACCGTGATGCAACTAATAATCTGGTATTTAAACGACTAAATTTGTTTGTTGTATCATGAGACAGTTTCAATAAAGATGCGTTTTTTATAGCAATCAGAGAAAACAAAGATTCAATTGCTAATATCTTGTATTGCTAACAGCTGAGGAAACTATACTGTATGTATGCTGAAAATGCTTCAGAGAGAATAAATCTCTATCTCAAAGCCGTCCATAGTTGAGATGAACTGATAGCTATGGAGCTAGTATCTCAAGCCAAACCCATCTCTGAAACAGGATCCAAGATTCTTGAGAGTATCAAACTCTTGGAGGTAAGATTATGGTACTCAAAAAAGAGTTTAGTTTCTGTGAACTAACACTGCATAATAATTTTACACAATATGGTTAAGTTACATACAACTACTTATCACAAACATGATATATAACCCGGAAAATAAAGTAGATAACCCACTATAACAGTTGAAATACACCGATAGTGTAAAATGTTCACTACTATAAACCCCTCAAAATATAATATTTGGTTGAGTGAATGTTAGCCACTTCAATGTTTGTTCAATTACCTAAACACCCACTTTCATTTGAACAGGAAAGTTTGCAGTGGGAGAAACCTTGGCTAAGATTCTTAAGTCCCTGCTTCACAGATCCAGGACATGGTTTGCATGACATAGAAAGTCCAATGAAGGTAATAGAAATGGCTTTAACTTCTTGTCCCTGTTTTCTAACTAGAAGGATAGATGAAGAGCTGATAAGCGCCTCACATGGTGTGCTACAGCTGCTTGGTCTAAAATTGGAGCAAGCTAGGTGCTTTTTGCCATCCCATTCAATGGTAGCTCCGGAAACAGAAGAAGAGTTTGAGAATGAGTTTTCTAGTTTGTCCCCTGAGCCAATTTTCCCGACAAACCTAGATCAACCAGCACTTTTCTTATCTTGTATCAAAATGTGCATAAATAATTTTACCATGACTAAACCTATAACTAAAGGATCCAAAGTTTCACAGGGAAGTGACAGAGCTAGCTCCAAACAAGTCTATAACAATTGGATTAAGGCAATGAACAAAAGACTGGTATTTGCGTGCAAGTGTTCAATTTCTTTAGGTCTTGCTGTGCTACTTGGTCTACTATTTAATAGAGAAAATGGATACTGGTCAGGCCTTACCTTAGCAATCAGCTTTGAAACAGGAAAAATAGCAATTTTTACAGTTGCAAATGCTCGAGCACAAGGAACAGCTCTAGGATCAGTCTATGGGGTACTAGGCTGCACTATTTTCCAAAATTTTGCAAAACTAAGGTTCATAGCTCTGATCCATTGGATTATATTTACCTCAATTCTGAGGCACAGTAAGATGTACTCTACAGCAGGAGGAGATGCAGCAGTCATAGGAGCATTACTGATTTTGGGCAGAAAGGCTTATGGTCCCCCAAGTGAATTTGCCATCGCTAGACTCACCGAGGCCTTAATTGGACTATCATGTTTTGTTATCATCGAGCTTGTTTTTCAACCTACAAGAGCAGCTACTCTTGCAAAAAATCATCTTTATATGTGTTTGGAAACACTAAAAGATTGCACTAAACAAATTGTCCTGGATTCAGGGCAGAATGACTTTATAGAGAAGCAAAGGCATCTGAATTCTCTAGAGGACTTGCAAAAGTTCCTAGTAGATGCAGAGGTGGAACCTAGTTTTTGGTTTACGCCTTTTCCTGCTTCATGCTACCAAAACCTCAATAAATCTCTATCAAACGTCATGTACCTACTGTATTTCATGGCCAACAGTATAGAATCCCTCTCACAAACATTACATAGCTGTGATGATGATAGAAAGGATATTCAAGAACAGATAAACAAGGACATAGAGATTCTCAAGGAAGCTCTAAGCTCTTCAATGATCTGTATCAGGAAAACCATTTCAATCAGACTGTTAAGAGCTTCCCAAGATCAGCCAGAAGAGCAGATCTGTTATGACCTTGAGGAGGGAAAGTCACAACGCGAGTATACAACTTCTTCTATGATTGATAAGGAATAGAAAACTTTAAGTTATTGTCTTGAACACTCAAAGGAGGTTGCTGATAAGACAACGTACACTTAAGGCAATGAAGAGCTTACAAGAAAAACGGTTCTTTGTTTGTGTTCTATAGGATTTTGTGTGAGATGTTTGATGAGCGAAGTAAAAGATATAGAGGAGGGTATAAAAGAATTGGTGAACTGGGAAGATCCATTAGGCAACCCTTTTCATTAATGAAATTTTGCAATAACATTCCCACATTATTCATCTATTCTTTATTTTGATAACCGAGAAATCCTCGAGGCTAGTGACAGTTCAAAACTTAATGAATAATGTGTCCATCCCTCTACCCTTCTCCATAATATTCCAACAAAATTAATATTAGTAACAGTAATTTTCTCAACCAAATCACAGCAGATATAAGAAAAACACCTTAGTTTGAGCCTAAAAACTATATTTTCTTCTCTATGTTCAATCATGTCAAAGCTAAAACAAACTCGCAAATCTGAACAAAGGAAATACATCACCCTAACTCTATATTGCCTCAACTTAGAAGATTATGCAGAACAAAGCCACCTTTTTATATGTTTTCCCCCTAAAAGAAACAACTTCTAAAGTTTAAGTTCTCAGAAAGTAGAAGTAGACCCAAAACTAATCTAAAACATCCTCAAAAGAAAAGAAAAAGAGGTAGACTTACAAAAAACTCCAGAATATTTTCTGAAAGCAAGACAAAGAAGAACTCTGATTCCCTTACTCATTGCATGATCTATAATAGTCTTAGCCAAGTTATCTATGCGCCCTGCTGCCAAATACAACTTCATGTTCGGAAGAAAATGTTTTTGGCTCATCAAAATTCATTAATCTTATATATAGAATAACTGATCATTACTATCAGTGAATGAGCAGATCTATGAACTTTCAATTGCCTTCATATTTTGGGTCTGCCATCACATAATGGTAAGCAACCACTAGCACAAATATAAAGATACCAAGAAAGTTGGCGAAGAATCCCAGGTCCTGGTCGTCCATCATCTGTAACAATATATGCAAAAATTAACCAACATTTGAGACCTCACTTAACATAAGATGACTCATGTTCCAATTTTGTACCTGAATGCACGGACAATAATCCTTTAAACACCAAAAAGAAACGAAAAAGAAAAAGAAAAAGAAAGCATGCATACACACCAGACAACAAGACAGTCTACTCATGTCATACTGCATTTCTACTGATGTTTATACCGCACAACAGTAAAAACTGTGTTGCTAAGTTTCTTTTTCTTTAGACTACTGTTCTTGACCTTAACGGCTTAGCCTTCTAAAGTTCTGAACAACTGCAAGCCTAACATTCGAATTTTTGAGTGCCATCATGAATTCCGAATGATACCTATTTAACGACTATGATGCAAGCGGTGACAGGTCTCGAAGTTTTATCCCAATGATAAGTCAACTAACCCAAGATGACTCATGTTCCATTTTCTATTTCTGAATAAACAGGATAATAATACCTTAAACACCAGAAAGAAAAAGGAAAAGAAATAAGCATGCATATGATGATGTTTATCCAACATAACCGTAAAAAAACGTGTTGTTAAGTTTATTTATCCTTAGACTACTCTTTTCGACCTTAGCATTCTGACAAGTTCTCAGCCACTGCAAGCCTCAAATCTTTAAGTACAGCCATGAATGTCGAAATGATACCCATTTAAGGATTAAGATGCAAGCAGTGACTGGTCTCAACGTTTTTATCTCAATGACAAGTTCAATTATTTAGGTCAGGTGGCCTATATGATAAGTTTTTGATTAGGTAAAAATAAAGATTCATCCAGAACACATTGCAAACTACGTTAAATTTTAAAATTTCATAAAACAAGCTTTATAATATGCGGAATAATGAAAGTAAATGGTAATATAGTTAACAAGAGAAGTTACATGATAAGACATGTACAAATGCACCAAAGATCTGTGTCTTGATATGTAACATCACATATTTGTTTGACAAATATGTTGAATAAAAACTTTGACTCAGTCATTTTCACGATTGGATGAGACTGTGTTGCTTATATTCAGGCAATTCATAGCTCAGTATTATAGTCTAACGGCATAATAGAGGAAATAGAACATAGAATTGAAATAGGTTAATAAGGAAGAATTCTAGAGGAGTGCAAAGCAATATGAAGATGCTGAACAAAGTGAAAGGAAATGTTTTACACAATGGTTGTGAGATTCAGACTACTAATGTTATAAAGGATAGAATATTGAGCTCTAAACCCCAACATATCCACAAGATGACTGTCAAAATGGATAGGGGTAAAGTCTGCAAACACTCTACCCTCCCCAGACCCCACTTGTGGAATTTTACTGGGTTGTTGTTGTTGACTGTCAAAATGGATGTCTGATCATATAAGATTGGACAAGATTAGAAATAATCACATTAGATAAAGGCTACAAGAAGCATACATGATAAGAACTGAGAGAAGGTCACTTGAGCAGGAGGTGGATTCAGGATTTAAATTCTAAGGGTTCAACCTTTAAGGCTCTTAGCATATAACAAATTATATTTCTAAAGTTATGGGTTCACATCTACTATTTGTTTCAGTTTTGGTGTATTTTTACATATAAGTTTATATTCCGTATTGAAAATATTGGGTTCAGATGAACCTGGTACCTTTACATTGGATCCGCCCCTGCTTGAGCTTATTTGAACACATTCTACGTAGACCTTCAAATGTACCAGCCAATAGATGCAATATTATGGTGATTACAAGTGCTAAAAGGGAACGAGATACACCTAAAATCACACGAGGGGAAGTTGTCCAAGAGAGTACAATCTTAGGAATCACTACTGAGTTGGCTAAGAACATTCCTTCTCCATTTTGGAGTTACTTTAGGCATAAGCTTTTAAAACTAGTTCTAATATAACAGGCCAAACTGCAGTAAACAGCAGATCAAGCAATTAATGGAGACAACAGTTGCCTATCAAAATTACGTAAATTTAAACAACACGAAAAAATGACATAGGAAACTAGAGAAAAAATAAATAAAAGAACAACAGAACAAAGAAATCAGGTTCAGTTATTAGCAAAATTATGGAGCAGATCGCCAAATAAGAAATTGAATTAAGAAGAAATGGTCCGAATTTATAATGAAGGGAAGGTGAAATTTTGAGAAATTACACTAATAAGAAGCAGAAAATTTCTTCAGAAGGCAATGGCGACGATCTCCGATTCCCGTCCTTCGAGCTCCTCTGCTAAGTGGCTTCGAAGAGGCACAATTTAGCTTGTGACATGTGATGTGTGTGCTGGTAGTTGCTTAACGGCGTCGTTTAGGACTGTGAGAATACAAATGATTAAGTGGAAAAAAGAATATTAAATGTGGCTGCTGGGATTCGAGCCCAGGTCTCCACGGCCACAACGTGGAATTCTCACCACTAAACTACAGCCACAACATGTTAAATTTGTTTTAAATGATTTATACATAGCGAGCGTCTCTGAGAAATACCCCCACCAAGGAATATGATCAAATGAATGGGTGAAAATCATTTACATCCCCCAAGTTTGCTTTAAAAATCAAATTTATCCTCCAATTTTGAACAATTTTCATTTTTCTCCTCATATCAAAGGTGACTTCTTAAAATGCCTATTTTACCCTTTACAATTTTTATCTCTTATTTTTATTCTTTAATATAATGATGATAGTTTTTATTTTTATTTATGTTATCGACTTACTATAGACAAATTAAAGAAACTTTTTTGAAACCAAAAAAAAAAGTAAGAAGTGGTAGTCAAGCATAGGGGTGTTCATAAAAACCCGAAAATCTAAACCAAACCAAACCGACAAAAAAAATCGATACTTTTTAGGTTTGGTTTTGAATTTTAAAAACCGATTAAATTTGTTTTTGTTTTGGTTTTAATCAAAAAATTACCGAAAAAACCGACTATAGAAATAGCTATTTAAATTTATTATTACACCTCTATATATATAGAGTTTTATATAAAGTTTATAATAGTTTATGGTACATATTAATCATTTGTATTTTTAGTCTAGTTCTTTGATATTTTAACAGTCTAATTCTTTGCTTTTACATTCTAGTTTGATTGATAGTTTTCTTTTCCTAAGTACAAGAATTTATTTCATGTTAAAATAATCGATTTTTATTTGAGAACTTAATGTCACAACCCAAAATCCATTAAGGGTTGTGATGACGCCGGACACCACTGTCAGGCTAGCCAACACTAAATAGTTAATTAAATTCTCTTTTTATGTTTTTGAAATCATAATGTTTTCTTCAATTCCAAAGTCTGTGCAACAAAAATGCACAACAAGTGTAGTATGAGTACGAAAACAATGCGTACCCAGTAAGTATCCAGTCTAACTTCAAAGAAGTAGTGACGAGAGGTCGACTTCGATACTTACTAGTGGTCAAATAATATCAAATACAGTAAAAAAGTGAATAAATATGAAATAGAGTAAATATATGAAATAAACATGTATAAAATACGTGGTGCAATTCCCCTCTTTAGAATTTTACTCAAGCTCTCAACTAGCAAGTTCCCTCCTTAACCGGAGCATATATATATATAGGTATAGTGGATATCATCAAGATGTTGTCACAATTCAAATCAAGGAAAAACCCTNGAGAGAGAGAGAGAGAGTGCCAAGGCTTACGGCCCGATCCAACATAAAAGTAAATTGTGCACTGCCGAAGGTCGAATGACGCGAACCATAGATGCATCTATTAACCTGTCGATGCGAACTGCCCGCTCCCATGAGAGTGTGGTACATAAATTCTGCCGAGGCGAGTGGCCCGATCCCATAAGAGTGGTAGAAGAAAATACTCCGCTCGCAAATCATACGTGCGACGCGGTCAAATATAGATTTAACATTAAAATCATATCTCTTTCTTGATTCTCTTCAAAATAAGGGAAATTCAGCTTGTAGCATTTTAAGAAAATTACCCCGCTCGCGAAACATACATGTGACACGGTTACACATAGATTTCTTAAGCTATTATAATATTCCTCAATTCCTTTCAAAATTACGAAGTTCAAATGAAACCTTTTAAATCTTATATTCTTCAATTTCACTCATTTCAAAACAATTTATAAGCAAACTCAATCTCGCTCCCTCTCAAGGCAAGAAATAAACATAAATCAATAACAATATTAATAAGGCATGATGTGAGCCTAAAACTACTCAGACATAGGCATATCTAGTAACTACGTACGAACTTTCGTCACTTCTTGCGTACGTAGCCCCCACAAATAGAAGCACACAATAATTTAGTTCACCTATGGTGTTTATTCCCTTTTACAAGGTTAGAAAAGAGACTTACCGCGCTCTGAAGTTCCATAACCGTCTCCAACGCCACTCTAACATCTCAAATCGATACCCAACGCTCCAAAACTATCAAAATAATGGGCAACCCAATGAAAATATACTCTAATACTTATAACAATTCGATTTAAATAAAATTCCCAATTCCGCTTGAAAAGTCGATAAAAATCACCCACAGCCCGGATTCCGAAATTTTTCGAAGATAAACTTTACCCATAATCCCATGAACTCAAATATATGATTTATTCTCAATTCCATTCTCAAATTCGTGGTCAAAATCTAAAAATATTAATTTTCTAGGTTTCTACCAAAACCCCACAATTTCTACAATTTTTCATGTTCAAATACTTATACAAATCATGTATTTTTAACTTACAATAGGTGAGAATCACTTACGTTGACATAGATGACGAAAATCTCCCTTCCAAGGGCTCCAAGAATCGCCCAACCAATTGAAAATGGAGGAAAAATGCCAAAATTCCGTCTTTAAAATAACACTACCCATCACTGCCCTTCTTCGCGTTCGCGATCATAGCCTCGCGTTATCAGCTCCCCTGCTTCGCGTTCGTGGTTGGAGCTCTGCGTTTGTGAAGGCCAATCGCTCCAAATCCCCCAGGCCTCCTTCCCTCTTCGCGTTCACATAGCCTTGGCCGCGTTCGCGAAGGCTTACCCAGCTCCTGCCTCGTGTTCGCGTT